CCAAGATATGTGATCAATGCCGGGGCCCCGCCAGCAGGCGAGGGGATCCCAAGGCAGTTGCTGGGCGTGGAGGCCACGGGGGCATAGGCTACCAGGGAGACAGAACTGAACCTCACATCACCCTGCTTGGCCCCGGAGGATGGCTGGTTAGCCAGAGACGGGTAAGATTCCTCAGGGAAGGAACAACCTAAGACAGGCACAGTCGCAGATGGACCATCGGGAGACAACTTGGGGGTCAACAGAGGTGGGGCACAGACCCTCACCCCCCTCCCCCAACTTTGCAGAGGCCTGAACCCTCACCCTTTCTGAGGTAGGTCTCCTGCCCCCATGGCTGCTTCTCTTCCCACACCCAGCTCAGATCGGGACCCAGGTAAAGACAGAGACTGGCTGACAGCAGCTGCCCTCTCACTGCAACAGGACTTGTTTCCCATTTCTACCTTGGACCACAGGGAAAGGGGCAGCTGAAGGAAAGGGCTGTGTCAGGATGCTGCCTTCTTCCCTTTCTTCTCCCTCTTTTTTCTAAACACTTCCATGCCTTGTAGTTCTTTTGCTTTCTCTTCTTTTTCTCTCTACTACCCTCCATCTTCCATATCAGCTGACCCAGAGGGCACAGCTTACTCCTCCTCGGACACCGACACCACCATCAAGCATGGCCCTGATGGACCCTTTGATGCAGCCCTTCAACTCTCTGACGCTTCGGGAAGCCCGTCACCAGTGACGCCACCCGCTAGCCAGACCAACAAAGACAATCAAACCAACAACTTGAGGACAGCTGAAATCCCTTGACTGAAGAGTCCAGCAACCTTCTACAGGAATGGGGCTCCTTGTGCGCTCCATCCACTATGTTTATAGCTATGCTCACTGTCATTGCTTGCCAGTCTTCTTCCGAGTCTTAAACGGCCCAATCTGAGAGGTGGCCACTGATTTGCATGCACTATCATTTAAAAAATAAAAAAGGGGGAATTTGCCAGAAGCCGGTCCATCCTTGCTGCTTGACACAGTCGCTGCAGGAAAGAAACATCTGCACAGCATATGTTTCAAGGGACCTGGCGTATATAGCATACTGTTCTTAATATGTTTGCTCCCCTTAGCGCTATGTGTTTTAACCAGATTTTTTGGGGGTAGAGAACCAAATAAGATAAAACTATGTGAAAGTATTTTGTGAACTCTTCAGCTTTATTTCATTTATAAATTCCACTCATAAATTTTACTTATATATATATATTAATATAGTGCTGTTGAGTACTGCTCTGTGCTGGGAAGTGGGGAGACAGTAATGACCATGGTGAAGTTCCAGATTCTGTGGAACTCATATTCTTTTAGAAAAAGCAGAAACTAATACCACATTACACAATCAATTATTTACAACTGTGGCATTGCTGAAAAGGATAGAGTTCTGAGCTGGATCAGGCAGGCAGTGAAAGTTACCTTGAGACAGTGACACTTCAGGTGAACTTTGAAGGTTAAGTAAGAATTAATTAGACTCAGAGGGGCCGAGCTCCAAGCAGAGGAAAAGGCATGTTCAAATGCTGGGAAGTGGAAAGAATCCTATATAATAAAAGCCCAATATGCAAATTGTTTGACTGGGAGTTCGACCGCTCGCTATGATGTGCACTGACCACCAGGGGGTGGCGCAGAACATGGCAGGCATCAGCAATGTGGCGCTGGCAGTGGGAGGCAGTGGAGTTGCTGCAGACCTTGATGGGCCCCGACAAGAGCGGGACTGTGGCCGGATGGTGGAGCAGGTGAGTGGGCGGTGCCAAGCCAAGGCAGGTGGGAGCGGGGACCTGACTGCCCTGACCGATAGCCCTGCAGACGGTGACCAGTGGCCAACAGGTCCTGACCACCCAATTGGGGCTGGGCCCTAGGCTGGGATGGGGAACTGGGGGTGGGTGGTGGCAACCAACCTCCCGTGGCGCCCAGGCGGGGGGGCTGGGACCTCTCACCAGCTACCTGGGGGGGGCGGGCGGTGAGGACGGAGCTGTGGTGAGAGTACAGGGTGTCCGCCGAGCTCGTTCTCACTCCCCCTGCTACCCTACTCTGGGACGCCAGGGCTCACATGCCAGGGAAGCCCCCACGCTCAGGTGCCGGGCGCCTGAGAGAAGCCTGCTCTGCACCCACGTGGCTTCTTCAGGTGAGCTGGGCCGCAGCCGCCAGGACCACAGGGGCCAGTCATGCTCCCCGTGGGTTCACGCAGAAGCTGGTCTGCGAAGCTGGCCAGGAGAGAGCGTGCTGCCCGCCCGGCTTCTGTGTGGCACCTCTGGGTGGCCCAGAGGCCCATACTGCACCCCGGACCATGATGTCCAGCCATGCTCACCACATCTCCGCATGGGGACTTGGGTGCCGTGACTCAGGCGGAGGGGGATGTGAGGGGGCCCCGGGGCCCAGGTGCTGCCCAGGGCCCAGAGGTCAGCTGGGACCTGCCCTTCCATGCCAGATGCTCGCACTTTGATCACGGCCAGGCCTAGGGACTGCACTGTGCATGAATTTTATGCACCAGGCCTCTAGTAAGACTATATCTTGTGACAACAGAAATGTGAATGTGAGGCTAGTTGTCAAAAACTTCAATGAAAGTGGCATAAAATCAAGCTGGTGAAGAAGGCTGGGAGGAATGAATTCAGTGAAATCAATCTAGAGGCTACTTCGGTTGACCAACTAAGAAAGGATGGTGGCCAGACCAGGGTGGTGGCAGCAGGAGGGATCTGTTACTGTCATTGCTACTGATTGAATGCTACTCTGTGTGGCTGGATTTTCAAAGTGACACCTTAAGCCTAAGTGCCCACTTGCCTATAACACTTTCATCATTGATGTCAAGATGAGCTGAGTGAAGATACTTCTTTTATCAGTTGTTCAAAACTGCATAAGCTTGGGTAGACAGAAATAACATGCCATTCAATATGAACAGCCCCATATCAATGGTATTAAAAAGTAGGGAGGTTTCATTTTATCAGCTCTTAGATGAATCGTTTGCCTGGAATTTGTAAAGTTTAGGCTGGGTCCTCTGGCTTGGGCAGCATGATTTAAATTGCCTCTTTTAAACTTTCTATAGAAGGAAGTGGTCTTGTGAGGGAAGGGTAAGCAGTCCTGTTTTTCCAGAGTTGTTTATTCAGATGAGGTAAACATGCTACTGATTTGGAGACATTTATTACTGTGTCTCTCTCCAAGGTATTTCCTGATTTAGTTGAATCTTTACTAAGGAGCCTACTTGGGAGGTCACAACACAGGGGAAATAGATGTAACCGCCATAAATATAAGCCTTGCTTGAGAAAGCAAGCCAGCTTAAGATGAAAGAAAATAAAATAAAAATCCAGCCCTTGAGGTGAATTAAGACCAAGCATATGCAAACGATATATCATCATTCTTAACTTCCACAGAAGCCAGAGCAATATTCCTTAATATTTGTGTTTTATATAAACTGCAAAATCCACATCTGTATTCAAGGTAGTTAAGCATAACCAGCAGTGCAGCAGGACCATGTGGTCCTGACTCCTATTACTCTCGGGGTGCTGCCAGAGGGCACGGCCTGGGTGGAACTGAAGCAGAAAACCAACAAGAAAGGCAATCTGAGGAGTCCTCCCAGGAGAAGGACTCAGCATCTGTCTGCTCCCCCAGGCATGGGGGTCTGTCCTCGAGCTGAACCCTGCGGGGAGGGAAGAGGACTTGTCAGTGACTCCTGAGGATGACTGTCTTGAGACAGGACTTTCCCCGAGGCCTGTGCTCCGTTATCCAGGCTGCGTGTACCCGTGACTCAAGGCTTATCAAAATCCTCATCAGAAGAGAGTGACAGCTGGAAATGGCAGTCTTTGTGAGAACCACTGAAAATTCACCCTCCACAAAAACAACAAAACCACTGCCAAATAGGTCAAGATTAAAATTTTCAAAACTCTGGAAATGAACCAAAGGCTGGTAGCACCTTGGGAATGTGTTTATTAAAGAAAAATGACAGAATCGCAGTCAGACCAGCAGGCTTTGTGATGTAGAAACTAACCCTGACCCCCTCGTCTGTTCCACAGCTGCGGGGTCGCCCTGAAAACCAGCAGCCCCCATTTCCAGGTCCAGCGGTGGCAGGACCGGGAGCCCCTTCAAAGACTCCTGCCCAAACAACGGTCATGGGTTGACCTTTCTAGTGGTTCCCTGGGAAATCCCACTAAAATGCTGGTCTTTGTTTAACCTGATAGAACTTCCCCAGTGTTAACAGCCTCTTGCTAGCACTGGAGGTGGGGGTGGGGTGTAACATTCAGAGCAAATGACACACAGACCAACTTCAGAGCATAAACGGAAATAAGGTGTCCATGGGACTTTGAAAACCTCGAGCATATTCCTGGGAACCTAGAAGACCATTCCAATGCCCAGGGCTGTAAAGACCCGGGAATTTCACCTTTGGCTTGACCTTGATGCTGTGAAATACAAAGTTGTAAACTGTTAAAGGTACATGCCAACATACACTGAACCCAAGGAAATTTTAGTGGTTTCAAAGACTGGGAGATTTATTGGTTTCAAGTATTTAAAGAAATATGTCTGATCATTATCTGACCACTAACTTAACTGCCTGGAGATGTCCAGTTTTTTATTTGTTTGTTTGTTTTTAAAGAAACATGCAAAGAAACAAAGAATAGCCCATATACAGGAAAGCTTTCATATACTATTGAAATTAAATTGGTACAAATTTGAACTAAATTGTTATACATTATAATGTTAATCATAATTACTAGGACAACCATTAATAATTTAAATAAGTATGCTAGCAAAAAGATAAGATAATAAAAATAGTTCATCAGAAAATATACATTTAATGGAAAAGAAAGCAATAGCAGAGAAATTGAGTAGCAAAAAATATATGGCATTTAGAAAACAAATAGTTAAATGACAGAATTATATTCTGCCTTATTAGAAATTACATTAAATATGAACAATTTAAACTTTGTAATCAAAAAAAGAGATTGGCAGAATGTACTGAAATATATGATCCAGGTATATGCTGTTGATAAGAGACTCACTTAATATTCAAAGACACAATAAAGGCAGGATAAATATATGTTTATATATATGCAACCTATGAAACAAAATAGACTTTAAAACAAAAATTATTACTAGAAACAAAAAAGGTAATTTTATTATGATAAAATGGTCAATCTGTCATGAATATATAACATTTAAAAACATACTAGAGGCCTGGTGCACAAAAATTTGTGCACTCGGCGGGGGGGTCCCTCAGCCCGGCCTGTGCCCTCTCACAGTCTGGGACCCCTCAGAGGATGTCCACCTGCTGGCTTAGGCCTGCTCTCTGCGGGGATCGGGCCTAAGCTGGCAGTCAGATATCCCTCTGGCAGCCCAGCAGCCCTTGGGGGATGTCCACTTGCCAGTGGGGAGCAGGCCTAAGCTGCAGTCGAACATCCTTAGCGCTACTGAGGAGGTGGGAGAGGCTCCCACCACCACCGCTGTACTGGCAGCCATCAGCCTAACTTGTGGCTGAGCAGAGCTCCCCTTGTGGGAGCGCACTGACCACCAGGGGGCAGCTCCTGCATTGAGCATCTGCCGCCTGGTGGTCAGTGTGTGTCATAGTGACCAGTCATTCCCAGTTGTTCTGCTATTAGGGTCAGTTTGCATATTACCCTTTTATTATATAGGATATTCATCTAACAACAGAGCCCCAAAATATATTCAGAAAAAAACTTGCAGAATGGATAATGATAATAATTATTATAATATCAACAACAG